TTCACGGATATAAACTAACAATTATGGGCGTATACGCAATAAATAACGACGCACTAGCCAACGTAAAAGACGCATTTTTTGAACAGCTTCACGAAGAAATATCGAAAATAAGTCAATCGCGGGAAATAATATTAATGGGGGATATTAACAGTAGAGTAGGAAGAAAAGATGCGGATGAAATAGTAGAAGACACCACGAACAACAATGGTGAAAGATTCATAGATTTATGCTACCAGAATCAACTCAGAATCTTAAATGGATACTTTCCACATAAACTGATACACAGCTATACATGGATTCAGGAAACACGAAACATAAAATCAATAATCGATTATATTGATTATATTGTAACAAAACAAAAAACCCGACTGAGAGTACAAGATGTAAGAGTTCAGAGAAGCGCAACATGCGGTAGCGATCACTATTTATTACGTTCAAAAATACACTTTCCAATCCGAAGACAACAGAGAAACAATATAGACATAAACAAGACAGAAAAGATACAGAACGAAGATACATCAGAAGCCTAGATGAAGAAAGTACCCAAGATTTATTCAAAAATATGAACTTATACAAAACTGTTTACACGAAGCAGTATTTGAAGCAATGGGATACTACATAAAACCCAAGGTAAACAAACCATACTGGTGGGATAACGAAATAGAGGAAGAAATAAAATGTAAAAGACAACTATACCAACAATATTTAAGATCCAAATCATTACATGACAAAATAAAATATAAAGAAAAACAAGCAGAATTACGAAGGAAAACCTCTAAGAAGAAGAACGAGTCTTGGAAAAGAAACTGCCAACGAATAAATACTTATCTAGGAGGAACGAGAAGCACAGAAAGCTGGAAAGTTATAAAAAATTGAGAAAAGAAAAGAATAAAGAAGTAATCTTCTTCTTCTTCAAGTGCCATCTTCGTTCCGAAGGTTGGCGATCATCAGGGCTATACGTATTTTCGAAACTGCTGACCGAAGCAATTCGTTGTTGCAACAGCTATACCATTCCCGTAGATTCTTTAGCCAGGAGTTTCGTCTTCTTCATATGGACCTTTTTCCTGCTATTTTCCCTTGCATAATTATTCGAAGCAGTTCATATCTTTCGCCTCTTTTAATGTGTTCCAAGTAAAGAAGTAATACAGAGCATAAAACCTGAAGACTGCGTATTTCAAAGAACTTTTGGTAGAGAATAGAGTCAAATTTCAAGAACATAGAAATCAAAACCAAGATAGAATTGCAATAGTCGGCTCGCTAATATGATTAACAAGAGAGGAAATTAAAAATGTATGTAAACAGCTGAAAAGGAACAAAGCACTCGGATCAGGGGATATACCCGGAGAATTATATAAGTACGGAACGAACAAATTGTACGAATGTCTTCAACAACTATTTCAAGAATGCATAAACACAAGCGAAATCCCTACGGAATGGAAGATATCATACCTCAGTACTATACATAAAAAGGGTGATAAAAATAATTGTGAAAATTACCGAGGAATAGCTGTAACCGGATCTATGAGTCCAATCAATAACAAAAATAAAAACAGGGACACAAATAACAACAGGATTTATAACATCAAAAGGATTAAAGAAAGAATGTTGTATGTCCCCCACTTTATTTAAAATATACCTCGAAACTGCTTTGAAAAGATGAAAACAAAAATGCAGGACAATTGGGATACCGCTAACCAACACTATGGTATATACGCTCAACTTTGCAGACGATCAAATAATAATGGCTCAAGATTATGACGATTTAAACTATACGGCACGAAAATTAATTGAAGAGTACGATATATGGGTCTAGAAGTAAATAAAAAGAAAACTGAATACCTCTGCATTGGAGTAGAACAAAAAGATCTCATATAAAATGTTAAACAGCATTTTATGGGACCAATCCATCAACAAAGAAAATAAAAAGAAGATATATGAGACTATAGTAAAAAGTATTACTTTATACATCTGTGAGGTATGGCCCCATGGTAACCCTAACACAACATGGTATAGACCATAACACTGTAGCACTTATTAAAAAACTATATTGAGATCAAATGGCATCTATCAAAATAGACAATCGTCTGACAGCAGAATTGCCAATAAAAAATGAGTTCGTCAGGGCTGTGTACTTTCTCCACTGTTATTTAATATATATTCCGAAAAGATCTTTCAAAATGCCCTCGAAAATATTCATCATCATCATTCATCAATCAGCCCTGAGTTGTCCATTGTTAAACATAGGCCTCCTCTAGACTTTTCCATCTGCTTCTGTTCTGCGCATCTGCTATCCAATTGGTCACGATTATTTTGAGGTAGTCGGTCCATCGCGTTGGGGGTCTTTCTAGTCTTTCGCTTGTCAGCTCGTGGTCTCCACTCAAGCAATTTTTTTGTCCAACAGTCGTCTTTCATTTTTGCAACATATTGGACTGGTAGAACGCACTGGTTAAAAGCTTTTCTTTTAAATGGATCGGTATATTTGTTTTAAATACGTCTCTCATTTTTCCGAATGCAGCCCAACCCAGACTTATTCTTCTGAGTAGCTCGCATGTTTGGTTATCTCGCGTTAACCTTATTTCGTGACCCAAATACACATATTTTTCCACAAGTTCTATGGGCGACTTTTCGATTTCTATTAGCTCATTGGGGACGAGATTGGTCATCATTTTTGTTTTTCCATAGTTTATTTTTAAACCGACTTTCTGGGTTACTTGCTGTAGTTGTTGTAGCATAACTCTGGCTTCTCCTAAGTTGTCTGTTATGAGAACAATATCATCGGCATATTGCCGCTGAAATATTGCCTCGAAAATATTGAAGAAGGAATAAAAATCAACGGAGAATACGTAAACAACAAACGACACCGTTATTATTGTGGACAGTGCTGAGGGTTTACAACGACTTTTGAATGTCATAACCAGAGAGGGAGATAGCTTGGGACTAAATATAAACACAAATAAAACAAAAGTAATGGCTGTTACACGTGCACCAAATGTCGACATTAATATTCGTATATATAACAAACATATAGAACCAGTACAAAGATTCCAGTATCTTGGTTGCTGGATAACAAACGATCTTGACCACGAGGTCGAAATACGTGCTCGTATAGAATATGCTAGGTCCGCATTTCAACGAATGAAAAAAATTCGAGCGTAAAATACTCCCCAAAATACACTGCACCCCAAAATTAACGCATAATTTTAAAAACCCTGGTAAATTAAATAATTTTAATGTTTCGATTTTTGTGCTAATATATTATCGTTACCCCCGGTATATTGTAAAATTTATCGAAAGAACGGTAAAAAACGCTGATGTTTTTATCATTTTTTTGCAAAAAATTAAAAACATGCTAATTGTGCTTCATTTTATTTCGAATTTAGTTGGGTTGGATTTCGTTGTGCTGAACGTTTAAAGGGGTTTTTCAAGTTTATTAAGTGTTTTTTCTTTGAAATGAACCACCCGCAGCAAGAAAATCGAAATTTGTCAGAAAGTGACTGTTTTAGAATCGTTACTCTTCGCGAAGAAGGATACACTCAAGTAGAACTCGCTGAACGTTTTAACGTCACCCAGTCAACAATTTCAAGAGTGTTAACACGTTTTTCTGTTACTGGAAGTAACTCGAGAAGACCCGGTCAAGGCCGTAAAAGGGTTACAACTCCTAATCAAGACCGGTTTTTGACACTTCGTACACTGAGACAAAGGTTTGTTTCCAGTACTTCTCTACAAAATGAATTTTTGGATCGTTATAACTTTAGAATCAGCCAAAATACAATTAGAAGAAGACTTGCCGAAAACGACCTACACCCTGGAAGGGCACCAATTGGCCCATTATTGACCAGAGACCATAGAAGGCAAAGATTGAATTTTGCTCGTGAACATGTTGATTGGAATAATGACGATTGGGGAAGAATATTGTTCACCGATGAATCCAGGTACTGTCTTTTTTCTGATGACAGGAGAAACCGAGTGTATAGAAGGCCTGGGGAACGCTACGCACAGTGTAACACCGTAGGGACTGTACAGTATGGCGGCGGCTCGGTAATGGTATGGGGTGGGATTAATTTAGAGGCTCGTACGGAATTAGTTAAAATAAATCACGGTCGGCTTACATCGCAGAGGTATATAACAGACATTTTAGAAGAGCATGTCGTGCCATTTGTACCATTTATTGGGGATAATTTCATGCTTATGCAAGATAATGCCAGGCCACACACGGCAAGAATTGTGCAGCAGTATCGTCAGGAGGTTGGAATTCCTGCCATGGATTGGCCTGCGAGAAGTCCTGACCTTAACCCAATAGAACATGTTTGGGACATCATAGGCAGACGACTACGACAACTACCTAATGCACCAAACACATTAGATGAACTGTTTTTGCGGTTGGTTGAAATTTGGGATCAAATTGATCAAGAAGAAATCAGAACGATTATTCTCAGTATGAGAGATCGTTGTCAAGCAGTAATAAATGCCAGAGGAGGCAATACTCGATACTAGTACACGGTAGTAGTATTTTCTTCAACTTTAAAAACTTTTTCTTCATTAATTTATGATGTTAGTTTGTTTAGATCAGTTCGTTTAGATGTTATGATTTATGTTAGGATGTTATATTGTTAATTTCAATACATTTTTTGTAAAAAAAGAATAGTTTTATTTAAGATGTTCTAAAACAACCATAAAGCAGAAAAGAACAAACAAAATTTTTTTCATTACAACTCAAAATAAGAATTTTAAAATTATGCGTTAATTTTGGAGCGCAGTGTATTTAGAGCTCTAAACGATGTTTTGTTTTATTATTTAAAAGAAGCTTATATGCAGAAGTCAACACATAAAATAAAGAGTTTGTTTTGCTATTGCAGTTTATTTCCAACTCTATAATAATTGATAAAAGGCTAATATAGTACAAGAAGACAATTTTAGAACAATATTGAGAGATTAAATATTTTACAACTTCCAAAATATATTCATAACGTTTTGTAATATTAAATAACGTAGTTACTCACCATCGTACGCAGCTTTATGTAGAGTCACTAAAAGTAACAAGGCATATAAATGGGAAGCATTTGCTGGCCTTTTCCATATTACCTTGAAAGTTTCGATTATATGGTTAGGATTAAATATGTCAAACATTAAATTTAAATTGTACTCGATTTTTGTTTTCGATGTTTCTTTTACCCAAAACATTCCATAAAATAAAGAAAAGAACATTATCGATGTTGAAATACTCAAAACTCCTAGATATCCTAATTTTGTAAAGAGTTTTCCAGACACTAAGTTCGCTAAAAGTACGCTTAAGCTAATTACTGTAGATGTTATTCCTATTTTAAGAGTTCTATTGTCAACAGTACTTACATCGGCAATATAAGCCGTGATAGCCATAGTAAGTAAACTTTGTGAACCAAATACGGATGGTACTATTTTTTCCAATACTCCTTGCACTTCTAAGGGCCAAGTTCTCATATTTAGAACACATAAAATGCCTCCAAAGCTACCTAAAATATCACCTATTATAGGAAGAATAAAAAAGGGTTTCCTCCATTTGTGCCGGTCACTAAATGAACCCATAAAAAGAATAAGTAGTAGAGGTATCAAGCTTTGCACTGGTTGCTGCCACGAATGCATTTTACTAATAATAATCTGTAAATGAAAAATTATTAATTATTCCATCTTAACTCCTTGTTGACTTACATTTTTTAAAAATATAACTTATTTAAAAATATTTGTGTGTTTTATTATAGCCAAATTTAACTCAGCCTCTGGTAGTTGCTGGGTGAATTAAGTAGCTCGTTAACTATCAGTGCCGATCATCCAGGCATTGGATGCAGGTATCCGGCAGTAAAAACCTTGCTAAAACTTAAAGAAAGGAATATAGAAAGTTTAGAGGCTAGGGCGTTCCCAGAAAGCGAAGCGCAGTTGCTGCCTCGCTTGACCCCTGTAAAAACTGAGCTAGGGCTAAATAAGCTAGTCCTGAGAAATGCAACTCTCAACGTCGAAAGCGTGACAGGTAAAGGAAGAGAGCTCGCCGATTTCATGCAGAGAAGAAAGATTAGTGTACTTTGTCTGCAGGAAACTCGTCGGAAAGGTAATAAGTCGAGAAATCTTGGAGATGGATGCAAGTTAATATATAGTAGTTCGAACAGTCATGGTAGAAATGAAGCAGGAATTATTTTGAACAACTAGTGGAAGGAACATCTTATAAGGGTAACCAGAAGAAGTGATAGAATAATGGGTGTCCAACTGAATACAGGCAGGGTGCGAAAAACAGAAAAAGGAAGAGATGGAAATAAAAAATGATGAAGAAATGGTGTTATTGACTTTGTAGTGGCATGGGATTTGGTTGTCATTAATACGTTCTTTATGAAGACTGAAGACCAGTACATTACCTGTAGTAGCAGGGGAAGGGCAAGTCAGATAGATTTTGTGCTGTGTAGAAGTCAACTAAAAGAGGTTACCAACTGTAGTAGGAAAGAGTGTAGCTAGTCAATACCGACTGGTAATAGTGGATACGAGGATAAATGTGAGGCAGAAAGGAAAGAAAGTAAGACACCAGAAAGTAAAGTGGTGGAAGTTAAATGATAAGGATTTGGCAAGAGTCTTTTAGAGTAGAATGTTGGTAGAGCTCGAGCAAAAATGGGTACGCCTGACGGTAAATGACTGCTGAGAAACCAACAGTAAAGTTGTGGTGCGTGTGTAAGAGAAAATGCTATAAAAATCTGGTAAAAGGTCTGCTAAAGAAAAAGAAACTTAGTGGTGGAATGATGAAGTGCACAGAAGGTTGGAGAGGCGAAAGAGGCTAGAAAAAGGTATGCAGGTCTAAAAGAGAGAAAGAGGAAAGCAAAGCGCACTGTAGCTACTGCTAAAGAAAGATTATCTGCACAGCTATATAAAGAGTTAGAAACGCCCGAGGGATGAAAAGGTTATACAGCATTCCTAAAGTAAGAGAAAAATCATCAAAGGACTTGATCCAGGTGTGGCAGATTAAGAATGCGGATGGAAGAGTATTAAGAATCGATGTTGAACTAAAGCAAAGATGGTATAAGTCCTTTAGAAAGTTGCTAAATGAATAACAGAAAAGAGACAGAGTATGCGTGATCTCAAATGAGAATGTAATATCGGGGTTAGAGAAAGATAGCGGGTTAGAGAGAGATGCGGTAGCGGGTAGATACTCATCTATGATCCCGATAGGTGACAGATCTACTTCAGGGATGCGCCCCTGCCCACGCGAGCCTTAGTTTATCTCCTAATACCATACAGAGGAAACCATTGTCCTACCCTCAGTCCATATCCAAACCTACCTTTTCTCTCCCAGTACCCTGGATGGATTTACCGATAACGACCCTAGATTAAATATGAAAATGATTTTTGATTAACGAATAGGAAGATGGTCCTCCGAAGAATAAGGGGTTGAGGCGCCGGGCCTGCTACCCGACACTCGGAAAAAGTCATTATGCAAAAACCAATCCAACACAGCCTCGGATTTTGGACGGAAACAAGGATATACGACTTAGGCGAAGAAAAAGGACTATAAGAATAGGAACGTGGAATATACAAGGAATTGCATCTAAACAAAATAAAATAATCCCAGAAATCGAAAGACTAGGCACAGGTATAATAGTCTTAAGCAAAACAAAAAAAAGGTCAAGGGGAGAAAATTATAGGGAAATATACACAGATATGGAGTGGAGTTTGCAAACATGAAAGAGCCGCAAAAGGAGTATCAATATTAATAAAAAATAAATGGAGAAAATACATACAAGATTACCAGCAAATAAATGAACGAATAATGGAAATTAGGATGAACATATTTGGACAACCAACAATAATTGTTGGAGTATACGCAATGAATGACAATGCGACCATAAGGGAAAAGGAAGATTTTTTCAACGCATTAAAAGATGTATTAGACAGGACAAAGAAAAAATAATATATTCTACTAATTGGAGATTTTAACAGCCACATAGGAAAGGATGATGAAGATATAGTGGGACGATTCGGAGAAGACGAAATTAGAAACGACAATGGAAGTCGGCTAATCAAAATATGTCGAGAATACGATTTAGTCATAACCAACACAAGGTTCCAGCACAAGATTCCATACATACATAGATACACATGGGAAGAACCTAGTAGAAACCAAAGATCAATTATTGATTTAATAATAGTAAGAAAAGCCAGCAAAACAATAATACAAGATGTAAAAGTATACAGACAAGCAGAATGTGCAAGTAACCACCGATTAGTGCTAGGAAAATTCATATACACGGGAAGACGACAAAAAGACAATATCCAGAAGGATGATGAGATGCAAAAAATCGCAAATACGAGGTATAAAGTAGAACTTCTACAACAATTTAGTACTCGAACACTATATCAGAATAGGCTACAGAATATGCTACAGATGAACGAAGAATGGACCCCAACAGAAATGTATCAACACCTAAAGGAGAAAATAAATAAAGCGGCAAACGAAGTGCTGGGTATTGAACAACATAAGAATACATATTTGGAGAAATACAGTGACGACTTAAAAGAGATGATTAAAAGAAAAAAAAGTGCATTTCATAAATGGCTAAATGACAGAACACGGGGAGAATATGTTACCCTCAGACAACAATTTAAACAAAGAATAAAGCTTGAGAAAAACGAATACTGGGAGAGAATGTGCAGAGACATAGACAACACGATAGGGTATAACAGATCAACGTAAGCATGGAAAAAAATAAAAAACATCAGAAGTAATAAACGAAATAAAAATACCATACAGATAATTACATCAAAAGAGTGGACAAAGCATTACACAAAATTATTGCAGGAGAATAGGCCGGAGTATATCTCATACGACCCTGTGACAATAATAACTGAGGAAGCAGAAATCACAGAGGAAGATATAAATAAAGCACTAAAGAAATCCAAAAACAATAAAGCTCCAGGACCAGGGAACATAAAAATGGAACTGCTGAAATATGGAGACGCAAGGATAGTATCCTTTATACGAATGTTGTTCAATAAAATCGAAGCAGGAGAGAAGATTCCCGATGAGTGGAATTTATCATACATGTCCTCCATTTTCAAAAAAGGTGACAAAAGGTCACCAAATAACTACAGAGGGATCAGTGTAATGCCTTCAATAGCAAGAATCTTTTCATCAGTTATAAGTAAAGAAAAACTAGAACAACACATGGACCATTATAGCAAAGAACAAGCCGGATTCCGAAAAGCCAGATCATGTTTAGATAATATATTCATTATGAGACAGGTGATTGAAAAGAACAAAGAAAAAAACATTGAAACACATATGACCTTTATCGACTTAGAGAAAGCATACGATAGCGTGCCCAGGAAACAACTATGGGAAGCAATGAGTAGAATGCGCGTTAGAGAGAAATTAGTAAATATAACACGAAGACTGTATAAAGAAACACAAGTGCAAATAAAGTTAGGTAATGAAATAACAAAACCAATCACCGCAACAAAAGGCCTCAAACAGGGATGTGGTCTCTCACCTACACTTTTTAACATATATATATAGATCAGGCTTTGAAAAAATGGTATAGAAAATGCGGAACAATGGGTATACCAGTACAAGAGAATATATTACATTCACTACTTTTCGCAGATGATCAAGTCATTTTTGCATAAGACAGGGAGGATATGGAATATATGATAAGGAAATTAAAGGAAGAATATGAACTTTGAGGACTCAAAATAAATATGTGCAAGACCGAATACTTATGTATTGGACCCGAGGTTGCAGATTTGAACTTAAGTTTAGAAGAACAGACTATTAAGAGTTGTAAGACTTTTAAGTATTTAGGGTCAATGATTAGCCGAGATAGTACTTGTATGAAAGATATAGAAATGAAAATAGAACGGGGAAAACAAGCTACAAGAGCACTTCATGGAGTGATATGGAACAACACTCTGACCAAAGAAAACAAAAAGAGGATTTTTCAAAGCATAGTGATGAATATTACCCTATATGGAACGGAAGTATGGCCAATGACAACAGCAATACGAAATAATATAAGAACAGTTGAACTGGACTTTATGAGAAGATGTCTACAAATCACAAACAGAAATATGGAACAGAATGGAAGTAGAATGCTCAATTACAAAAAAGTTGGAAAACAGAGCCCTGCAGTGGTACGGGCATGTACAAAGAATGTCAGAGCATAGGTGGCCGAAAAGAATATTAAACTGGGACCTGCCGAGAAGAAGACGGAGAGGAAGGCCTGCTACAAGATGGAAAAGATACGTCAGAAATGCTATGAGAGATAGAGACCTCAGAGAAGGGGACTGAAAGAGTAGAGTGCTGTGGAGGACGGCAGGGATGGGGGTGGAGGGATGTTGGGTTTTGGCATATGTTATCAACTGATGGGTTTTTCTTGATTATTTTAATTTTATTATATTCGGTAATTTTGATTCTTATAATTTAAAATTCTTAAAACATTTGATTTGAAATTCTTAAAACTTTTCCACCAAACTTATTCTTGTAGATATTCTGCAGTTCAAAATTATATCTATGCGTCCATATTCCGTTCTCACAGATCGTTCCGAATATCTTGCGTTGTACTTTCCTTTCAAAAATCGATAGAGATGATTCATTTGTTTTGGTTAGGGTCCATATCTCTGATTCGTATATGAGAATGGGGACTATCAGTGTTTTATACAGTTTTATACGAGTTTTTGAGACAGACGTTTATTAGCTAAGTACTTTGATAGCTCATGATAACATGAGTTTGCAATTACCACTCGCCTTTTAATTTCTGCTGGTCTTTTATTATTGGGATTAACCGATGTTTTTAGATATGTGAACTCTTTAACCACTTCGAACTTTTGGTATTTGACAATGATCTGCATCAACATTTCCAGCTCTTGTGTTTGTGTTAGTCGGCATGAATTTGGTTTTATATTAATTTATATGTAATCCCATTTGTTATACTGCTACTACTAGCTCGGTTAGGATTTCCGTGGTTCTCGCCCTGGTTATTGTTATAATGTCTATGTTGACAGTATATGCTATAATTCGGACTAATATATTAATTGCTATCGAAATTAGCGTCTCATACTACTTTTTCTAGGGCTATGTTCAAAAAATGACACGCCAGCGCGTCTGCCTACCTTAACTCCCTATGTATTTCAAACGGGATTGACGAGTCGTTCTGAATTTTCACTGCTGATAGCATAATGGTCATTGTCACTTTTATCATGCATATGAGATATTTTTTAAATTCCTGTGTCGTTCATAGCGTTGTAAATACTTGTATTATGACACTGTCATATGCCGCTTTAAAATCGACAACAACAAGGTAAATATCTATATTAAACTCTTTTGCTTTTTTGAGAATCGTATTGTAAAGATTTGGTAAGTAGTTAAACGATCACGCCTAAAACCTGGCTGATATTCTCGTAGGAACGTTTCAGCATAAAATTTAGTCGGTCATGCAAGATATGTTGGTTTATCTAGTTGGATTCTAGTTGGTTCCCCTTTTTGCGAAACCGTTATATTAAGCCTAAGCTCCATTCCTTATTCATTTGCTCCTCAGACCAAACTTTACAAACTATTTCTTGCATCAACTTGGTAATCTATTCTCCACCGTTTTTAAATAACTCCTGGTGTGTTGTATGCCATCGCTACCTGAGGATTTGGTTTCTTCTACCTACTACTTTTTTCTACCGTGCGGGTTCCATAAATTCCTCATTTCGGTACTCCAGTTCTATGTTGTTAGTAAATTCCTTTTTCAGCAACTCTCGAAAGTGTCTTACCATCCTAACAGGATATCCTTTTTGTTGGTTGCCATTCTTATCGTTATAGATGTTGATTCTCCGCTTTAATTATTTTCTTCTTTTCCTTGTAGTACCTATCCGTTTCGGATGTTGTATCCGTATTTTGCAAACTGCTGCTCTTAAAAGATTTATGGTTGTTGTGTTGAACCACGTACGTCCGCGAACCTTCCTGGTCCGCGTTTTTCTTCTACTTTTCCTTGAAGAATTAATTAGAACAACCCATGTCTTTCGCAATTCTTTTCTAATAATATTTATTTGGTAATAGAACTTTCTTCTATTATTTCTACTATTTCTACTATTCTTCTACTATTTCGCTAATTGAGCGATGATATGTCTCTTATACACTCTTAACAAATATAATATGGACATAACAGCTATACAGGAGATGCGATGGAAAGGGACCGGTACTCTCCAGAAGAATCTGAATACCATATATTATAGCTGCCATCAAACTCAACATATCTTTGGGGTAGGCTTTGTAGTTAGCAAAAGAGTTAATAACCTAATAATAGGTTTTGACGCTATAGATCATAGAATATGTGTTCTAAGAATACGTGGAACATTCTTTAACTACAGTCTTATAAACGCACATGCCCCCACTGAGGATAAAACAGACACAGAAAAAGAATAATTCTATGAGAAACTAGAACAAATATATAGACAGTGTCCCAATAATGACGCTAAGTTGATTATCGGAGACATGAATGCCAAGGTAGGACAAGAAGAGATGTACAGACCAACCATAGGACCTTACAGCATACACAAAGAATGTAATGATAATGGGACGAGACTTGTAAATCTCGCAGCATCTCTGAACATGACGATCAGTAGTACATACTTTCAACATAAACGTATACATAAAGTGACGTGGACATCGCCAGATCATCAGACCCAAAACCAGATAGACCACGTACTGATTGATTTAAGACATGGATCAGATATACTAGACTGCAGAAATTATAGAGGTGCAAATATTGACTCCGATCACTATCTCATAGCTGGACGTCTCAGAGCACGTATATCAAACGCCAGGAACGATAAAACTAAACCAAAAATAATCAAATATAATGTTGATAAATTAAAGTGTACTGAAGTCGTAAGAAACTTCCAAATATGCTTAGATCGTAAAATATCAGAACATCCCAGAAGTGAGGTATATCCCACTGAACTTAACACAAATTGGGAGTTTATGAAAACCACGCTCAAAGAGACCGCAGAGGAAGTGCTGGGTGAAGTACCCAAAGGACAGCGAAACAACTGGTTTGATGAGGAATGCCAACGAGTAACGAAAGAGAAGAACGACGCGTATCTGAAAATGATCAACAGAAGGACTAGGAGCAATGTTGAAGAATATCGAGTAAAGAGACGAGAGGAAAAACAAAAACACAAACAGAAAAAGCGGCAACAAATCAATAAAGAGTTCGAAGAAATGGAAAATCTTAATAGAGAACACGAATACTTACACAAATTTTACAAACAGGTTAACACAAAAAGAAAAGTTTTCAAGCCACAAGCGAACCAAGTCAAGGCCCTTAACGGAATTCTTTTAAACGAGAGAGTGGAAGTACTAGAAAGATGGCAGCAACATTTTAGTACGCTACTTAATGGAGAAAGTAGAGCTGAAGGTAGATATGATATAGAAATAGAACAGGAGGATACTGAACTACCAACTTTGGAAGAAATAAACAAAGCAATTCAGTCTCTAGCCAGAAACAAGTCACCCGGAGCAGACAACCTACCCGCAGCTACCGCAACCTACGCCTCACATACGGATCGGAAACATGGGCAATGACTACCTGAGATAAAGAGTTAGTACGAGTCTTTGAAAGAAAATTATTGAGGACCATATATGGCGGAGTAAACGAACAGGGTCTGTGGAGAAGGCGATATAACTTTGAACTCTATAGACTTTTTGGTGATGCAGATATTGTGAAGACCATCAAAATAAACCGCCTAAGGTGGGTGGGCCACGTTATGCGGATGGATGAGAGTGTTTCCACTAAAATAACTATGCTAAACAGGCCGGTCGGAAGAAGAAGAAGGGGGCGACCTAAACTCAGATATCTGGACGATGTACAGGAAGATCTGAGGGAGATTGGAGTGAGGGGCTGGAGAAGACAGGCACTCGATAGGGAAGGATGGAAGAATGTTTTAAAGCAGGCCTAGGCTCACGAAGGGCTGTAGTACCAACTGATGATGAATAGAACTTTCTTATTTCTCATTGACTCACATGATTCATATGGCTTTCGAGCCGTTCTAATATGTTGTTTTCTGTTTCTCGTTTCTTCTTTCTGTGTATGCGTTTCTCATCTTTCATTAAGTTTTTGTACTTATACATTGTTGTCCTAGTTGTTTATTGTTGCATGGTTCTAAATGTCTTGTCCTTCTCATCACTTATTTTTTTGATCTCTTGGTCAAATCAGTCGTTTCCCTTTTCTTCTTCTACTTCTTCTTTTTTATGTAGGTAGACATGACTCTATCTCTTTTTGAATGTGCCTCCAGTAAGTTGTCATTCTATCGTTTTCGTCGTCTTCCTACTGATCGTGTTCCTATTGGGGAACCGTCTCTTGCCATCTACTACTCTATTTGTTATCATTCGGCTTATTTACTGATGTTCTCCACCTTGCATCTACGTTGTATATCTGTACTTCTAGCTTTGTTCCGTAGTGTCTTGCCATCAATTTTTCTAAGTGTTTTTATCTCTGCTGTTTCTGACATCATTTTTGTCCTATCTGTGTAAGGTCGTGTTTCTGCCGCGTATGTCATTATTGGTCTGATGACTGTTTTGTAAATCCAAGTTGCCTGCGGCTCTGTTTGCTTTATTCACTTGATCTTCCACTTCAGTTTCGGGCTTTCGGTAGCTAGGTAATGTGATGCCTAGATGATATTTAAACTTCATCATTATTTATCTATTTCTGACCTTCCAGCTCCAATTTACGTCGTAGTAAATTTGATGTTGCGACCATGCATTTGATCTTTATTGGGGAAATTAACATGTTGAATTTTTTGGCAGTTATATTAAATTGGTGCAGCATACGTTGTAAATCGTCTTCAATTTGAGAGAGTAGTATTGCGTCATCTGCATAGCAGATTATTTTAAATTGTTTTTCTCCCATTTGGTTTCTCTTTTAAATAGTTTTCTCCATGTAGATCCTTTCCCTTTTCTTTATTTTGCCCATAGTATGCAAATTAAACTCTATTTGATAAGCGTATCTTATCCTATCGACGCTTCAAAATAAACAGTAAATACTACAGCTAATAGCTACAATATATATAAACTGTGTTTTTAATTAATGTTCTCATATTTATTCGCTAATTTTGATTTACGCCATGGTATTCTAAAAAGATTTAGTACATTATAATACCATTATTAAATTATATTGCAAAAACAATTTTTATACTCTATGGTACTACATCCGTAGAAGTTTCTCCTGAAAAAATTATTTAGATTGTGTTTTTCAACATAAAACTATTTTTTTTATAAGATTAACAACTGGAGTCAACAAAGAGTTATTTGGTTATGCCTATTATTATATTACCTGTATATTTTTGTTTTCTGCAGAAAAATTTCTGTGATTTCCAGCTAATACTGCATTACAGACCGTATCATTGTAGCCTAAATTGACTCTGCATGCTTTTTCAAATTCTAGGTTATTAAACGCTGGCTTGGACAAAACCATTCCTAATTGGTAAAATCCAGCTAACGGTTCAATTGTTATAACATCTCTAAGTTTATTAATTTTATGTCTAATGATTGTAGAATATACAGTCTTGTCTTTTTTGTTGGCAGTTTCGTTTCTAAAACTTTTGTCGAGCATTCTGTATTATAAACTGGAAAATAAAAAATAAGTGGTTTATAAGAGATAACTAATAGGTACTTATAGTAATATCATGGTCATAGTAATGATTAATCCTAATGAAATTTATAGTTTCCAGAGGCAAGCATTAGTTTAGCTTTAGCGAAAAAAAATTTCTCAGGAGCAAAAAAAGCTAAAATTCTTTTATGAATTTTTCAATACGACTAAAAATTGAATACCTATACCTAATATTCATTCTTTCCAATTACCTACGTTAGGATGATATTTGGGGATAAACTATCAAAGTCGCATATAACAATACATGTAAGAAGTGTAAAATCAAAGGTGGCAATCTCCACTTTTTCTTGTTTTGAGTTTGGGACGCCATCTGTCGCGTTTTTGAAGTTATGAAGAAACTTTCATGGGAGTGAATCTGTGAAACCATTACATATGTAAGATAATGAGTGTGAGAGAGACAGAAGATATATTTTCTCTCTCTTCCTCTCTCGAGAATAAAAATGTTTCTTTTGTATAAATATATTTAATGTTATATATATATATATATATATATATATATATATAATAAATAATAAATATATATATATATATATATATATATATTATATAACTAATATTATATATATATATATATATATAATATAATATGTATTACTATTATTATTTATGTGATATGTTTTGTATTATTTATTAAACCTTTATAATTATTTTAGGCTTTTGTATTTCAAAATAATCACTGTTTGACCGAGAACTGTCAATTTTGAAATCCGTTAGTGTCATGTCTAATTGGCAAATCCTTTACGTGTTTGGTTCATACGCTGGTGTTTGTGAGTTCGAATCCCAATATGAATTTCCTTTTTTATTTTTGAAATATTTAAAAACCTCACGTTAATCTTATTAAATATATGTAAAATACGCAAAAATGCTAAATTTTAAAATAAAATGAAAATTTACAACATAATCCGAGTTGTTGGTTTTTTTATTTTTATCTTCTTAAAGTAAGTTATGTATATTGGCAGTTTTAAATACTTATGAATGCATTTTAATTTATATTGTATTATTATATTGAATTATGTTGCAGTGTATATTGTATTGCAATTTTTATCTTAATAACAAAATAAACAATGAATTTTACTGCAGAGTATGTGTAAAAAATTTTTTTGCATTCAACTCCTTTTATACATATATGAAAATAAAAATATATATTTTCATTAAAATATTGATACAGTCCTTCATTTACTGTACTCCTATAACAGGTCAAATGTTTATATACAGAAAACGATGCACCATATACCTATATAACTAATTATTTTTCTCTTTCTGCTCTCTCCTACCTATAGCATTACATATATAATGATTGTGCAGATTGACTCCCAAATAAATTTGTAACGGCGAACGCGTGTATAGAAGTATAACTTCTACCGGCAGTCCCACTGGACTGCCACACCCGTTTTTTTATTATCTGTTAGATAAAGCTATTTGTAAGAATCAAAAGCGGTCTTAACTTTATACAAATAGCAGTGAAAAGTTGATATTGGGATCAAAAGCGTCAATCTCCATAGCTGAGTGCATACCAAACATGGCAATCTCCGCTGGGCCAATAAGAACCACGTAGCGCACGCACGTGATTAACACATGGTTAGATTTGCCGTTACATCGTGCTATTATAATTTGTTTTAGTTTTGGGAATCGTTACATTACTTTTGTGCCTTTCCTAAACTATATTTATGGCTAAGAAATTAGTTTATATACCAAAAAAGTATTAATTTTTTATCATGGAAGTTAATGCGTCTCCTGTCACACCAACAAAGGCAAGAAAGGGAATAAGACAACCTGAAAAATTGAAGAAAAACGTTGCAAAACGTCTAAGGTGAGTACTTTTGTGAATGTTATGATTCCATTTCCAAGCCGTTGTTGAATTTTGATATTTTGTTTTTGTTATTTGAACCCATTTCAGTACTTATGTTCATAATTATTTTTTGTTGTAGATATTCTGCGAAGAATATACCAGAATACCCAACATGTGGTCACAATTAAAAAACATATAAGTGCTTGCTGAAAATGAACGAAATACAGAAATTTCATAGCTTATTCTATGAGACCAAAGATAAAGCGACTCAAGATGTCTTTATTTTGAAATACTTCACTGTGAATCGTACTGTCCATCTTCGGTCGACAAATGAAAAGTATTCTTCAAAGAAGCACCAGGTAAAATGTTTCATCTTTAATTTTTTATCGAAGGAGAAAGTTCCAGTGTGCCAAGCAGCTTTTTTTAACGTACTAGTTATAACAAAACACATGCTTTCAAAACATAAGCTGGAAGGAGTTCGAAAGTTTATAAACCAATTAAGATGTACTGAATCCAATTACTGCAGTTCAGTGACGAAAAAAATGTATTCTTCCATCTGAACTGAGCGTCTCAAAATTGTATTTATTGTACACTGCTCAGACAATTCCATCGGAGACTGTGAAGAGATCGTATTTTCGCTATGTATTTAACAGAAAATATAATTTGAACTTAAAACTCCAAGAACAGACGTTTGCTCAAAATGTTTAGAGCTGATGTGAACACATTAAATACGAGAAAAATGAGCAATCTCAAATTAAACTAACGACTAAAAAACGGCTCCACAAACTTCGAGTGAAAACATTTTTCCAATTTCTTCAAGAAAACAGAGAAGACCTAGTCACTTGACTAGTCGTTTGACTGCCAAAAAAATTTGGTCCTCCCTAAAGTTCCTGATCAAAGTGCTAATTATTCAAGGCAGCTTTATTTTTATAACTTTACTGTTGTTGAAGGTTCCTCAAAGTCTCCACTTTAAAAGAAAAATATATTTTCATACTGTTGGACCGAGGACATGTTTGGCAAAGGATCAAATGAAATTTCGTCTGCAGGCTTTTTAATTGACTCAATGACACTGAATTTGGCAACATGTCAAAGAAGGTACGACTGGTCGCCGATAGATGCAGTGTCCAAAATAAAAACTCTATAATGATTGCGGCTAGTCGAGAGCGCACCATCCAATGTGAAATTACTTGAGTTAGTTTTTCCTGTATTTGGTCACTCATTTAAATTTACGAAAACGAGAAGTAGTAACGACACCTGGCGAATACAAGGACATTATTTCCGAATTTTCTACATTCATTGATATGAAGCAAAGCTGTGTTTACGATTGAAAGTCTGCTGTTCAAGAGGTTATTAAACCAGTAAGAGCATGGGGTTTTCAGTTTAAGGAATGTAAAAGATACATTTTAAAATTATGTAGGACTGGAAATGTTTTAGTACGAGTTGGGTTTCATTACAAAAACGATTTCGGAGCTTTTGCATGATCAATCCAGAAAATATTATCCCCGATGCTCACGAAGCAAATAATTTAAAACTGTGATGTGAGAAATCTTTTGACCAAACATTTTGGTTTAGACAAGAAGCAAACGAGAACTACTTGCCCTAGTAACACACGCCGTCCTATGGACGTCCAATATACGTCCAGTTTTGGTCCGGACGTCCCTGGACGTAAAGTGGACGTACGAAGTGGGACGTACTTTGGGTGGACTAAATATGGACGTTCTCTGGACGTCCGTACTCGGACGTTCCCTGGACGTCCATACTCGGACGTCCCCTGGACGTCCGAACTCGGACGTTTTCTGGACATCCGACATTTACCAATTATGGGATCAAATGGCAAATATTTCAATAAAATAAAAAATTATTTACGTTAATAAAATAATTAAAAGCGAAAAGGTTAAATCATGATTAATTAAAAATTGTATAGTTTAATATATCCAAAACATGTTTTTGTTTTTAGGTAAAGTGTAAAAATCTTTTATTTCTAGATAATTTGTTACAATTGTTTTATTATTCTAGTTATCAAGATATATGTTTGCTAATTCTAATAAGTAAAAATATGATTTTTATCGACAAGATGAATCTTGATAATCTTTTCCACAGAATAATTTGTCTCTTTTGTCTTTTCAAAGACAAAATAATGAAAAACAATGATGTGATATGACATGTGATGATTGATGATAGGTATTAAATTAATTGTCAATATTGTCATTGTCATGTCATACCTATTTAAACAAATCGTACAGTTTAATCATATATTATTATTATTATTGCTTTAATAAAAGAAATAAAAGAACTCTATTTAAGCAGTGTACAGTGCATTGGTCTTTTTGATGCTTCCTTTGATAGCATCCATAGTTAAAGGTTTGGTACCATTTTTGTTAGGTTATTTTCGAATTTGGTTTTTATTTTATTACAAAAAGGTAAGTAATTTTTCTTAAAATTGTTTATGTTTAAAAGTAAATTAGTTCTGGTTACAATACTTCCGATTTAAACTTTTTATTAACATGTTAAGTACCTAAAATAATCCAAATTACCACGTGGCCGACCATTCCAATGATACTTTACAAAGCATTTTTTTCAATGAAACTGAAGAAGGGTCTAAATATGGTTGTAACGAGAATTCTGGAGAACCTTATCGAGATGTTTTTAATTTTTCTAATAAGTTATGCAACTGGACTTTGTCCTTTAATACTAGGTGATTTATTAAAAAATCATAAAGAAGTTCCTGATCTTTCTCATTTAAGTTCAGATGCTAGAACCCTTCTTGCTTCACCCAGAGAACAATTACTCTGATCCATATGATTCAAATTTCAAACATATTTTTATCTTCACAATAAAACCATGTTATAGAAATGTGTGTAAATTTTGATGGAATCTCACTAAAAAAGAGTTTTAGTAGTCAGTTTTATCCTAGTTTGTATAATTTGTTGATATCCTAAAATTGTAAATTTAATAGGCATTTACCATGGTTATGAGAAACCAAAATTTGCAAATGAATGTTTGATTGATTTTTTAACAGAGCCTGTTTTTTTTTATTAGATAGTTTAAACTAAAATAATTAAGCATGGATGATCAAGTTTGTGGGGTAGTTAGATTACTGTTACATGTTGATTTATATTTTAGGATAATGAGCTTTCCAAAATTGGTGAGGAAACCATAAACGAATT